GACTCACACAATCTAACTACAATTTCCCATTCCAAACTAATATATTCCTCCACATACTCTCCTCACCTTCCAGTTTGTAATACTTACAGTTTCTGACAAGTCTTTTGTTTTGTTTTGTTTTTTCATCTACATGAATGAATGAATGAAAGATCACTTGGGGTTTTTTTTGTGTTTTTTTAGGCAATTGGGGTTAAGTGACTTGCCCAGGGTCACACAGCTAGTAAGGGTCAAGTGTTTGGTCTGAGGTCGAATTTGAACTATTCACTGTGTCACCTAGCTGCCCCTAAGATCACTTGTTAAACACTAATTAGATGGCCGTGGTAGAATCAGAGAAAATGGTGATTATATTGAGGCAATTGACTAATATGCCCTAACCAGGGATGACAGTGTTAACTGATTTCTCTTTTCAGATCTATGGGTGCAGAGAAGAGGGAGAAGCAAAGAAATGTAGGACGTTAAGATTGGCCAAGGAAAGATAAAGTGCTAGCCAATCAGAGCCCAGGTTCACAGTAGTCCCTCCTTCAGTTCCTGATGGAGGTGAAGGGTTAAGAAGCCTATCATTTTAACATCAATATTCTTCTGCAAATGCTCTCTTTTGGGGTGTCATGGAATACTAGTTTTGAAAGAATTAAAGGTATAGGCCACATAGAGGCATATGGGCAACATGAGAAGTCTGCACACCCTTATGAGTAACCTAGAATTGCACCAAAAAAAACAAGCAAAAAAACCACTGCTGGCATAAAGAATGTCATCTGAGAATTATATAATCAGGAAAAGGAGGTGGGCCAGTCATGCACCTAAAGCAAGAGTTAACTAATAGGTAGTCACACATTCCAGCAGTATCCATGCAAAGTCAAGACCACTATAAGAAAGTATTCATGTTCAGTGCCCCCCCCCCCCACGGAGCTTATAAGAGGAGAAGGGCAAAAGTTTCCCAGAATCAGAAAGCACAAATGGACTGCTGTCTGCACTGTTGGTGGGAGTACCCAACTGCGACATTACAGGTCTAGTGAAGTATCAAAGAACCACATTTTAGAAAGGACACTGACACACAGGAATACGTCTTTGAGGGTAACCAGAACGGTGAGCAGGACTTTAAACCATGTCTCATGAGGTTCTGTTGAAAGAACTATATAGTTGGGGCAGCTAGGTGTCACAGTGAATAGAGCTCTGGCCTTGGAGTCAGGAGGACCAGAGTTCAAATCCAGCCTGACACATTAACACTTACTAGCTGTGTGACCCTGGGTAAGTCACTTAACCCTGATCACCTCACCAAAAAACAAAAAAACCAAAAAACAAAAAACAAAAGAAAAGAGAAGAAAAGAAAAGAAAGAACTGTATAGGTTTGGCCCTGAAAAGATTTAATGGAGATATAAGAGGCATCTTCAGCTCTTCAGAGGTCCCTTCAACTCTTCAGAGGCCCAAGGGCAGAACTAGGGCTCATGGATTCAGAGAGGCAGATTTCAGATCAACTTAAGTTCAAAGTAGTGCCTGACAATTAGAGCTGTCCAAAACTAACGCAGGCTCCTTTTAGAGGTGGTGATTTATCATCCCTGGAGACAATTAATCAAAGAGAACCTGGTCAGGGAACATCACAAGAGGCTTCATGTCTTAGGATGGAAATCAAGCATTTATTAAACTCTTACTATGTGCCAAGCATTATACTAAGATCTGGGGATGCAAATACAAGCAAAAAGAAAGACCAGCAAGGCAAGGAAAGCAGAGGTTGCATTAGGTGACCTCTGAGCTTCCTTCCAATTTACTCCTTTGGGTCTAGTACATACTGTGAAAAGCACTGGCGTCAAAGTTGAATGTGGATATATGTAGTTCCATTTTTTTCTTTAAATGAACAATGACTGAATACCACATGGCATTCTTCCATAGTATTTGGCCCCCAAGGGCCACATGACTTCAGGAAGAAACAGATGGTGCTTTCACTAGGAACATAGGAAATTTTATAATCTAATCTCATCAAAAGTGTTATAGACAGAGGCTGGCTTCACATTCAGCAAGACCTTGGTCCAAGTCCCACTTCTGACCCAGACTGGCTGTGTGACCCTTGACAAATCACTTAACCTCTCAATGTTCTAGGCCACAGACATCAAACACATAGACAGCCCTTGGCCTACATATGAATCACAATGCCCCCAGCACAGCCTCAAACAGATTAAAACATAATTGGGAAATATTTAATAAAATAAATTTTAAAAATACAATAAAACATAACTAACATTTTAAGCTATCATTAACATTTTAAAACTAAGTCAATATGCAGCCCACAGAGATCCTCACCCACCCATAAGTGGCCCCTGTTTCTATTTTTGTTTCAGGCACTGCTCTAAAAATTCTAAGTTGCAGAAAAAGTACTGAACTTTATTGATAAAGCTTCCTCATTTAGAAGGTCCCTATATCAATGCAATTATATGTCTATTCCTTATTCCTGCCTCACCAAAAGTAATTAAGATGGCAAGCTATTTGGACTTTTGCCTAATACATCTTAACAGATACTAACTAGTCTCTCTTCTTTTCTGTGGCAAAATTACTTATATAGATTTTATTTGGTTAGGAAAAAAAATGCTGAGGCCAAGTTTGCCAATTCGTTCTTGATACCAGTCACTACTTTTTAAATAAAGGGGAAAAAATGACTTTCATGACTACAAGTTACATTGCTGATCCCAGACAGTGAAATTGAAAAAAAAAATTAGCTATTGGCTGATAGCTAGCTAAGGACATGGAACCCAAACTATAGCTCCTTGATGGTGTCCCAGGTACATCATTTTCTCATTTGAAGGTCTGATGTACAATGAATTCTCTTATTTTGTATAAATCTATTTGGGATCATTTTTATGTCCTATATCCATTAAGTACAAGGTTAAAATTCTCTCTGAGTTTTATCCCATAACAAAGTATTGTCAAAAACATGTACCATATTTTTATTTGTGAATAACATCTGTTTTCTCAATCCTTTAGAAAATCAATTAAAGTTCTTTAAAATAATGTCATTCTTTTGCCTTTTTTTTTAAAAAAAAGTATACAGAAATGAGGCATAATATCAGGTTTCATTCAATTTAAAAATCATTTAGAAAGTATTATAGACTATGTTTGAAACAGTGGTTTAGTTTTTCATTCTCTCAGTTCTGGCAGGGAGGAGAAGAGAAGGTAGAGAAAGCATATTTCTATTTTTTTAAAAATTAATTTTAAATGAATGAATAAGTAGATGGATGGATGAACACATTATAGAATCTGAGATTTGGGAGGCACTTTCTAAATCACTTAGCCTAGTCCTTTACCTTTAATGGTCAATCCCTATTTGAACACGTCTAGGGACAGGAAACTCATTACCTCCCAAGGAGGCCCACTCATTTGGTGAGTGGGTCCTGTTATTGGACAGGTCTTCCTTGAACTGAACTGAAAGCTGCCTTCCCTCTGGAGCTAAGCAGAAAAACCTAATCTCTCTTCAACATGACAGCCTTTAAAATAGGTGAAGACAGCTAAATCTCCTTTTCATCCTCACTTGGCTTGGTGAGCCTTCACCATTCTGGTCACTGTCCTCTGGACATGCTGTTATTTGTCAACTCCCCTCCTAATGCATCTATTAACACTCTCCACCAGCTTTTTTGGCTGACATATTGTACTGTTGACTCATGTTAAACCTGCACTCACTAAAATCCAGGCATTATTCACATGAAATGTTATCCATCCAGGTCTCCACCATCCAGTACTTATATGGTGGATTACAACTGAAATTTGGTAATTCCCATTCCAACTATTGCTTATTATTAATGACAAAACTACATTAAATAATTTGAGTTTGTGTCAAAGAATTGTTCTGAGGAAATTGCTTTTATTTTTTAAAATAAAATTGCATTACTTGGCTATTACTAAAGCAATTCTGATTTTTTAATTAGTTATATTTGTGACTGAATTACAGCGGTTTTAAAAAATGGATGTCTGAATATCCGGCTTAATATATTTTAAAACCAGATATAAATCTGCTTTTCAAAACTGTAGTGCATATTAGGTATTTTCCTTCTTTTATCTTTTCTGTAAAGCCATTTAAACACAAAATTAGTGATAACCAAGAATTTCAAATTTATATCTTTTTTTTTAGTCTAGTCCCCAATTATCTTGATCTTTATAAAGTAAAAGTAAGAAGAAAAAAAAGGAATAGGAATATTGGAGTTAATCTGTAAAAACCAAAGTTTCATTCGATCTTGGCATTGGAAAGAGAACCTGGCTCTGAAGTTCAAAGGTATCTGAAGTCATGAAAAATAGCTGTGTGACCTCAGAGGGGTCACTTAACCACTCTGAGCTTTGGTTTAGTCATCTGTAAAATGGGAATAATAGCATAAGTACCTTACTGGGGTTAGCTGGGTCAAGATCAATTAGCTAATGTTCGTAAAGCACTTTGCAAAGTTTAAAAGTTCTCTAGAAATATCAGTTTTTATTATTGGAGGTAACCAGTCTATTTTGATCTTTTCCCAAGTCTTTGCAGAGAATAGATCATTCTTTGTGCTGTAAAAACCCATGAATTCTTCAAATCTTTCCTTTAAAAAAATACCCATCTCTGGCAGAAATTTTATAAAAAATAAATCATCCAAGTGTTCCCTTTTGTAAAGTCTTTGCTGTTTACATATTCATCTAGAAAGCACACAAATTTACTTAGGACTGGAGAGGGGCAGGGGAATGTTCTTGGAGTTTGCTGGGCTGCAAAATCTGGAAGCCTAGATCTTCCTTTCATCCTTCATTTAAGTGAAAATAACTACTACATAGTTACTAGCTACCCAAAGCGCCTATAACTTAAAAAACAAAACAGAACCCAATGTCATTAAAATAATCATTTTAGGTATTTCTGAAGACCAATCATTTCCCTTTACTATAAAACTAAGGCAGCATAAAAAAAAAAAAACTAAGGGAGCACAAAACCAAAAAAATCTAGTAAAAATTTTTGGTAAAAAATTTTAATTTAGTAAGAACTAAAATGTATTTTTACAACTCACCAGGAGGCTTGGTTAAACGACGCCAAATTAGCCTTACCAGCTGTTTTGATTCTTGAAGTGTTCAAGGTACCCTCCCCCCAGAGTGATTCTAAGGACGTCCTAATAAACAGGAATTCCAATACATATCAAGCGGTGGAACCGACTTCGATTCCAGTTTTGTTGCTTTCAGAACAGGATACACCTTACTAGACCTATTTAAAGCACAAACCTGCTTTAAATGACTTAATTCTATGGAGAATTGGGAAAGCGTATGCAGATGTTTCATTCAACAGCAGTCACCCTCCCTCATCCCCAATTCATGTCCAATTACAGGTTTCAAATCAAAGTCGCCCAAATGCTTCAATTCTTTCCTCTAAGGTTGATGCAACCCTTCTCTACTGACTCTCACACCCCCATCCCCAACCATTTGATTTCGCTTTCGTTATCAATTTCTGCGGGGCGAGTGGGGTGGTGGTGCGGAAAAGGGGCGTTTTGCGGGCATGAACGCCTGCAGGACAGGCGAAGCGGACGCTGCTGCTTCCTAGGGAAGCCCAGACGGCCAGCTACCGCGTGTGGGACAGAGCTTGGGAGCGAGAGTACACGCTGCTCTCGGGAGCTGCACGTCTGCCAGGTCGGTGCGCCCTTGGGTACGACCACTGCTTGGCGCTGGGAAGCTTCGCTGGAGAGCCTGCGCCCTGCCGGGTGCTAAGCCTGCAAATGTGGTTACCCCACAGGAGCCCTAGGGGAGCCAGAGAGCAGAGCAGAGAAGAGGATCCGGGAGCACCGAGCAAACCGACAACGGGGAATTACAGGAAGGAGCGAGAGCGCAGCCCTCCGCGCTCCTCAGCTTTCAACCCCTCCGCCGCTAAAGGCGCGAGGGTGACCTGGCGCAGACGTGCCCCTAGGCGCGAGGCGAGAATAGCCCCTTCTCCGACGAGGGCAGCTTCGGAGATCGATCCTGTTTTTGCTTTGTTTAGAACTACGGAGAAAGCAAAAAAAAAACTAGGGTAAGATACGGGGATGGGAAAGATTGGGGGGAAGGGGTAAGAGAGGTTGAATCCTGGAGCCCCAGGGCTCCATCAACTCTAAGGCAGCCATCGAGGTCTTCCAGCCCCGCAGTGGCTCAGCCACGCTCGCAGCGGCAGCGGGCAGGACTGAAACCCCTGCACCACAGAGCAACGATACCGCACCAACTCTTCGGGCAGCCCGGGAGCTCGTGCCCTATATACCCTGCTAAAAATAGCCTGCACGGCCGCCCACCAATCAAAGTTGGGGAAATTTCGAATTGCTCCAATAGTGGAAGCCGTAACGGAGACGTTCGGTCACGCCAGGCGGGGCAGCCATGAGCCGCGGGTGGCTACTGGTCGAAGCTGACATCATAGGCGCACGGCTTCCAGGACGGGTAGATAGCGATTGGGCCGCTTGCGGAGCCGGCGCAAGAGCTGATCACGTGGGGGGGAGGGGAGAAGTGGGGGGAGCCAAGGCCGAAGGAGGAGGAGGAGGAGGCGGTGGAGGAGGAGGGAGGGGGGGAAGAGGCTGGCAGAAGAGCTTTGAATAGGGAAGTTTTGCAGGGGTTACGTTTGCAGTCAGTTCAGTGTTTGCAAATATTGTGTAGGCTCCTGAGCAAGTCTCTGTGATCCAGGAGAATCAGAATTTGAGGCTTCTAATTGCTGTGCAATTGAGTTTGCATGAAACTTTCACCTCTTCTGCAGGAATTGACTCTTGTGATTTCGGGAGAGAGTTTTAAATCTCTCTGACTACAGACCACACACCTCCCTATTTTTTACAACAGAATTGACTTTATTTTCCAACCAGACATGGATGTTCTCCCAATGTGCAGCATCTTCCAGGAACTCCAGATTGTGCATGACACTGGTTACTTCTCAGCTTTACCATCCCTGGAAGAATATTGGCAACAGGTAAATAGGGATTTTCATTACAAGGCGCAGAGTTTTAAAAAAAAAAATGCCCAGTATCGCCGGTGCACTGAGGAAAAAGGAGTGAATGGAGGAAAAAAAAAATTAAGAGTGTGTGTGATTGAAGCTGCCTATCTCTATGTATATATAGATAGATTTTTTTTTTGGTTTTTTGGGGAAATTTTTTTAAATTAGGATTTTTTTTTTAATCTTGTTCAAATGCCTGTTGTTTTCAATACACTTTTTGAGTGCATCTCACATTGGGAAGGGGAGTTGTCATTTTCAGTAGACTGGAGCTGTAGATCAGTTGTTCCGAGAGTGTTTTTGCCATTTTGGACCGTCTCAGCGGCAACCGCCTGAGCGGAGAGCCAAACTCTCCCAGCCTTGCGTTAGCTAGATCCCCGTACCGAGCCCTTGGCAGAAGTTTTGTGCTTGTATCGGGTCCAAACTCCACAGCTGGATCTTGTCATATGAACTTGCCTTTACTGCCAAAGGATTTTTTTTAGGGTTTTTGTTTTTGTTTGTTTTTTGTTTTGGCTTTTTTTTTCTTTTTTGGGGGGTGTGTGTGTATGTGTGTGTTTGTGTGTGCGAATACTTCTAAAATGTAAATACATATAGTATATATACACATATATGATTTGTAGTTTTTCCTGGTAGAAATATCTACCAGCTTATTTCCTATCTCGTTAACAAATTTCTGCCCCTCTTTCCGTCCCCCGGGGAATTTGGAAGATTTGCCTAGGTTTTGCCTGATTTTCTTACCGTCTACTCTTGTTGATCAGCCAAAAGGAAAAAAAAATCTATTTGCACGACCAGTGACTTGTCAGTCATATGACAGTGAGCCTGTCCTGCTAATTGCTTCAAGTCTTAGTTTGCATAGGAGATCGGAGGCTTCTGGCGTTTTAATGCGACTGGATTTTTTTTTAAGCTTTTGTTTTTGATTTTGATTTTTTTTTCTCCCTTTCTTGATTGGTTGAATTTCTCCAGGCGAAATAGACTTCCCCACTTCTTCCATTGTCTTTAAATATATATATGGAGGATCTGTTGTTGTCTGTCAGCCCCGGCTGTCTTGTTTCCCTTATTCACTAAGTGAATGATCAAATCACCTATTTTCCTGTTGGTTTGGAAGACCAGAAACCTTATTTAGAAAGACGAAATACAAAGGGTTGCAGCTTTCACGTGTCTTGTTTAATTGTTTGCAATCCTTTCTTCCCTTACTCGCCCCCCCCTTTTTTTTTCGTCCTCAAAGAAGCAGCTCCCTAGTACGTGATTGAAATTGATCTAAGTAGTTTCCTTCAGGCATTTGGGATTTGGGCAAAAAGCCAGAATTGGCTCCCAGTAGCCATCAGAGGCATTTAAACTCACAGAGAGATTCATTCTGGTCCATATTGCTCATCTACATAATGGAGAATTTAAATTAGGCGGATTATTAAAGTTTAACTAGATCTCAATAAATGTTCTTTCCTGTTTCCTTGAAGGATCAATAAAATATTTTGTGCTGTCTCTTTTCTTTGCTGTATCTTAATATGTACTATAGCGAAGCTTGTCTAATTATAGGTGTATATAGAATATAATGATTTTCCCCCTTGCTTGCATGTGACAAGTCTGAAGGGAGGTGGGAGAGGGAGGGAAGAAAAGAAATGTATACTACAACATATTTCTAAGGCAGCCAGCTAGAGTGAAATGTGTGGTTTTGGGATAGGCTTTGCTTAGAAGGCTACAGGGTTGCATAGAAGAGTTATGTTGATGAAATGAGTAGAATTTGATGTAGGAACTTAACCAGTATCATTGTCCGTAGGCAACCTAATATGGACATACAAACAACTAATCCTAGTGGAAATGAGAGAGGGGGAAAAAACAAACAATTTTAATCCTAAAATGTTTCCTACCATTTTTTTTCCAGTGGCTAGAAAGTTTGAAATGGTGGGGAGAGGGGATGCTGATCTCGGCAGTTGTAGCCACTTGAAAGGTTGGTTGTTGGGGGTTGGGGGGGAACCGTTGTACATGTCACACTGCATGTATATTTGAACAGAGTACTTTCTTGGCCGTTGGTCAGATTTTCAAAAGGAAGTCTTCTTTGGCATTGCGTGAAAGAAATAGAGTGATGACTCATACAGTTGTACTCTTGGCCAGTAGATAAAGTTCTTGTTCATTGTGGGACTCCCAGCAGGGCCTTAGAGTAATTTCCCCTTTTGCATCTTTTTTACAATAGCATATTGCTGTTCTGAAACTTTTCCTCCTCTCCTGCTGCTGGTGAAATTCTCTGTGTCTCTGACCACTATAGAAGTAGTTAAAGTTATGTGGTTATGTGCATGGCCCAGCCCTTAGAAATGACATTCTTTGAAAGTCTCCTAGGTCTCTAATACACAGGAAATGGGTGGTTTATCAGCAGCTCCATTGATGTCCGGGAATACAGATTGTCAGCTAGCTGCCACCATACTAGAATGTGGCATTATGCTATGACAAGTCAGCTCCATTTTTAAGTGAGCCTGTCAAACTACACTGGATGCAGTAGCGTGCTTCTGTCCTGTGTCGTATGAATGTGTGCTAGGTGCATGCATAGGATGAATGACTTTGCCTTTATTAATAAAGACTGTTCTTTAGAATGGCAGATAATCTGGTTAAACCTGTTAGGGGTGTATGTTTGGGAAGCTGGTTTTGTGCGTGTGTAGTTTACTGGGAAACTCATTAGAAACGTCAACACTAGTAACAATAATAAAAATCAGCTTAGAGATCATCACTCATTTGACTCACTAGTCTAACATTTGAAAAGCTAAGTAAGACAAGTTTCATCTTTTAGCTTTTCTTCTAAATTGTTGTCCAGTGTTTGGAAACTGAGTTAATGTAATATCCATTTTCTGCATTCCGAATGTTTCTTAATTGTAAAAAGATTCTAAATTTTGGTTTTACAGTACCAGGGTTGTTTTTCCTTTTTTTTTTTTGCATGTTTTTTTTAAATTTACTTTCACTTCCATTTTTAGTATTTATAAATTGATCTGACTTTAAAATTTTTTCTTTTTTGCATAGACTTGCTTAGAGTTGGAACGGTACCTCCAGAGTGAACCCTGCTGTGTGTCAGCATCGGATATTAAATTTGAAAGCCAAGAAGATCTGTGGACCAAAATTATTCTGGCTCGAGAGAAAAAGGAAGAATCAGAACTGAAAATTTGTTCTAGTCCTAAAGAGGACAGTCCAATCAGTCAGAGTTTCAGCCAGAGCCTAGAGACCAACAGCTTAAATTCAGATGTGAGCAGTGAATCATCTGACAGCACTGAGGAACTTTCACCTACTACTAAATTTACCTCTGATCCAATAAGTGAAGTCTTAGCCAGTTCAGGAAATTTGAGTTCTTCTGTCACTTCCACTCCTCCTTCTTCCCCGGAACTGGGCAGAGAACCTTCCTCTCAACTGTGGAATTGTATGCCTGGTGAATTGCATTCACCGGGTAAAATTCGTACTGGGACTGTGGGCAAGACTGGTGAGAAGGTCAGTGGTGATGCCTCCCCAGATGGTCGGAGACGAGTCCACCGGTGCCATTTCAATGGCTGTCGGAAAGTTTACACCAAAAGCTCGCATCTCAAAGCACATCAGCGCACTCATACAGGTCAGTCCATCCTAGTCAACCAAAGGGGTTAAGCCTGGTTACCAATAGGGAATACCCTGAATTTCATGTTGTCATTGTATTACACAAGCTCTGGGTGAGAGCCCAGAGCCTGGGAGATGATGTAGTCACACCAGAGGTTTACCAGCATTCAAGACATCATTTCCTCATTCTTTTCATCAAAGAGTTGAATCTTTTTGAGGACAGAATCAAATTCTGAAAAGACTGGTTGATTGTCGTGGAAGAATGGCAGGGTTTCAAGTTAAGCATACAGAAAGCCTAAGCCTATTCCTTGCTGCTGCCATTCTCCTCCTCTCCCCCTTCCCCCCACCTCCCCCCCCACCTCCCATTCATCTAATTGAGGGCCTCTTATTACATTCTCCATATAAAAGAATTGGATGAAGTCTTAAATTGTCTCCTTTTAGCTTCATTTTTAATTAATTAAAGAGCCCAGGAGCAGGTGGTCTCCTAGCAGTATAGTGTACATTAGTATTGATGTGACATACTGTACTTGTGTGTTTATAGTATATGTGAGAGCTTAACATGACTGCACTCCAGCCAATCAAAACACATTTGCCAAGCACTTATTATTTGACTAGGGCTCTCCAGTATATGTTATTGTAAATTAAATACAGCCTAATTTATAAAAGGTGCCTTAAAAAAAAGGAAGAAAGAAAGTGGCTAGCACCATTAGCAGTCAGAATGAAAATCTGACTTTTGAGAGCTGGAAAAGACCTTAGCAATTACTTTGTCCAACCCTTTCATTTTATATGGAAGTAAAGCTACTTATTCAAGGTCACCCAGCTGGTTAGAGACAGCTAGACTCAAAATAGAAGCTTCCTAATTCCCATTCCATCTATTACATTAGGGTCTGGG